GTCATTCAAATACACGAAAAAGAAAACGGTAAATAAATTCAGTTTCAATTGTTGAATGGGCATTGCATATTGATTGTTTACACAGAAACAAATCGGATTTTCTATGAAATTGGTATTTATGTTCTGTATGTTATTTCTATTATGTGAATAATGACTCAGTGGTCATTAGTATATTTTGTTTGCTTTATAAACAACACTTTGATATTTAATTTTAATTTTATTTAAATGACTGATATCTGTTCTGGTCCAATCATTATTGTTTCCCTCTGTGTACTGATTGCGATTTCCCTTTTGCTTGGGGTTTCGCTGCATTCATTTTGCGAGAACACGTGAACAAGTGCAGCTTGTTTATTATTTGTTAACTCATCAAATTCTGTCGCCAGGTTGAAACAGACTTGGAATCGCTTCAATGGACTTAAATTGACACATCACATCCGATCAATTAGCACGCACTTTCCGGCTTTTTTCTGCCGCTTATCATAGGGTTCAGTATTCAAGTGTTTATCAGCTAATTGTAAAGAACAAAGGGGAGCTATCTTGTGGGGCAGTGGAAAGCGAAAACACACATAAATAATCAGCAACAGCTGTCAATAAATCAAGAATGCAGTTCAGCGGGGAGGGGGAACTTGAACTTCCTTCAATTATCGACCGCTGGGCTTAGTCACCCACACAGCTTTAATAGTATATATATATATTGGTGGTCATGTAACGTACGCCAAAAAAAAAGGTTGCCATCTCTCCCACTCCCACTCCTTCGCTGATTGGGTGTGTGTGTGTGTATGTTTGTTTGTAATTGAGGCAAAGGTCGCGGCTTCTGTCTCGTTCGCACTCGTTGCCGCAGCTCTACCTCTTGCAAATTCCAATGCAAAAAGGTGTTCTCTTTTGTTTATAGCATTTTCTGGGTATTTGCTTCCACTTTTCTACCTGCGCCTTACCTTTTGATTCTTCTTCTTCCTTGGGTGCTCCTACAACTTGCGCCTGTGTGTGCGTTTGTTGTCTCCTGTGCGCGGCTGCATGAGTGTGTGTGTCTGCGGGATTCTTAATTGAGTGTTCCTGGGCCAACAAACTGGTGGGTTAAATATTGCACGATTTTCCGCCGCCGCCTCAGCTTAGGTCCACGTAATGGCGAGAAGTTTGGTACCGCTGCTAATTGTTTATTTGTTATTGCTGTGCATTTTTTACAAGCGAATTAGGTAGAGGTGGGGAACGAACGATAATCGCATCGATGTAATCGATGTTTTCAAAGTATCGGTTCTATCGATGTTTGGCAGACATGATCGATGTGTATCCGTCTCTAACGATATCGCTCTTTCTTTCTGTTAGTTCGACGTTTCGTTTACATTTTTCTGTTAGCTCGACGTTTCGCTAACATTTCTATGCTAGTTCGACTCTTCGCTTACATTTTTCTGTTAGCTCGACGTTTCGCTAACATTTTTCTGTTAGTTCTACGTTTGCCTAACATTTCTCTGTTAGTTCGACGATGTCATCGATGTTTTCAAAGTATCGGCTCCATCGATGTTTGTCAGTTACTATCGATCTCTATCCGTCTCTAACGATATTTGCTTGTCACTGTTAAATTAGCCTGGTTCTAAACCCTCTGTTCAAATTTCTAACATCTGCTGAAAGGCACTTGTTATTTAACATTAATTTAAAAGCATATTCAAAATTAATGTAATGTAATTACAAGAATGTTGCCGTTGCAAAAATGACGATTTTAGATTTCAACTGTAAAAACTGTAAAACTGACAACTGTAAAAATATTTAAATATTAAAAGCATATCATATTAGACATGAAAATGTAAAAGATATTGAGTGACATGTGTTTTTTGGTAGCATCACTAGACAATTAGAGTTCTTATTTGAATTCAATTAATGTTTTTTCGGCATAAAAGTAAGCAGGTCTATGAATATGTATTAATCAAATGCTTAGCATATCGCATGTATTTAACTCAAAATAAATTGGGTACAATTTGTAAGAAAATATATAAGAGAATTTCTGACGAACACCGATTCAGTACGTTTAATGCATTCCCGTTCAGAGGTAATAAGTATTTAAAATGCTTAAGTCCCGAATTGCGTTGCTATGGGCACTGCTGGCATTGAGTTCATACGGAGCTTTGGCGGAGACCGAATCAGTTTGTGTTTTGGAGGATCCTCCCAATCAGTGCGCCGGATTCTGCCTAGGAGTATTGACGCCAGTGTTGAATCACTTGACTTTGTCGCAGGATCAGAGGAATGTGAGTGAGGTGAGCAAGGCCAATGAAGTCCTGGTGCGACAGTACACGATGGAAAGCCAACTGGCCTCACTGGAGAACCAGCAAAAGACTTCGGGTATTAACCAGCAGAACTTAACGGAGAGACAGGATGAATTGGAAAGCCAACTGGCCGCCTTACAGGAAACATTAACCAGAGTGGAAGTGAAAATTAAGTATCTCGGATTCGAGCAAATCGGCTCGAAATACTATTACGTTGAGAAGTACTCAGAAAAGAATTGGTCGAGTGCTTCAAAAACTTGTCGCCAGATGGGAGGTCACCTGGCTGAATTTAAGGACGAAAAGGAACTGATCGACATTCAGGCTATTCTCAAGAAGGACACACACTACTGGCTGGGAATTAACGATTTGGTTAAAGAGGGTGAATACATGTCAATGTCCTCCGGAAAACCAGCTTCTTTTATAAAATGGGCCACTGGCAGTCCCACCAAATTGAACACCAACAACTGCCTATTTCTTTTTAATGGTGGAATGATCGATTACCCTTGTAGCTATAGTTTTCTGTTTATTTGCCAGACAGAGGAAGAATATTAGTTATAATATAAAGAAAAACTGGGTTGTTATTATTAATGGCAACACATTTATGTAATCCATTGTATAGAATTGTATAGAATTGTATAGGTTTGGAAAAATAATAAACTCTGAAGTTTTTATGGCCAGTTCCCAAGAATGTACTTTTTTAAGTTGGCTTGTAATTTCGGTTCGATTTTTTTTCGAAATTTTCAATTTTTCCCAAAAATGGATGTTTGTCGAAAAATGACCTCAACCCAGTTCCCTTAATTGCATAACTTTTCTCTCAGATATCCGATTTTAAAAAGGCATACCTCCTGAGATTTGTAGTTTAAAGTTCTAAGATGCTGCATTTAAATTTCACTCTTGTATTTTGTGTTGATTTTCTAAGCGATTTAATGAAATTTTAATTTTAAAAAAATGTTTACAGAAAAGTGAACCAAAACCAGAACATTTAATTTCATTACTTTTCTTACAGATATCCGATTTGGAAAAGACTTAATTCTTTAGGTTTTTGGATTAGTTTCCCATAAAACTGCGTTTAAATGTTGGCTTGTAATTTCGGGTCGATTTTTTTGAAATTTTGATGATGGTACCCCTTTCAATTTTTCCCAAAAATGAATGTTTGTCGAAAAATGACCTCAACCCAGTTCCTTTAATTGCATAACTTTTCTCCCAGATATCCGATTTTAAAAAGGCATACCTCCTAAGGTTTGTGGTTTAGTAATCTTCGATTCTGCATTCAAATTTTACTCTTGGATTTTCTGTAGATTTTCTAAGCGATTTAATGAAATTTAAAATTTAAAAAAATGTTTGCAGAAAAGTGAACCAAAACCAGTACATTTAATTTCATAACTTTTCTTACAGATATCCGATTTGGAAAAGACTTAATTCTTTAGGTTTTTGGATTAGTTTCCCATAAATCTGCGTTTAAATGTTGGCTTGTAATTTCGGGTCGATTTTTTTGAAATTTTGATGATGGTACCCCTTTCAATTTTTCCCAAAAATGGATGTTTGTCGAAAAATGACTTCAACCCAGTTCCTTTAATTGCATAACTTTTCTCTCAGTTATCCGATTTTAAAAAGGCATACCTCCTAAGATTTGTAGTTTAGTGTTCTAAGATGCTGCGTTTAAATTTCACTCTTGTATTTTGGGTTGATTTTCTAAGCGATTTAATGAAATTTAAAATTTAAAAAAATGTTTGCAGAAAAGTAAACCAAAACCAGTACATTTAATTTCATAACTTTTCTTACAGATATCCGATTTGGAAAAGACTTAATTCTTAAGGTTTTTGGATTAGTTTCCCATAAAACTGCGTTTAAATGTTGGCTTGTAATTTCTGGTCGATTTTTTTGAAATTTTGATGATGGTACCCCTTTTAATTTTTCCCAAAAATGAATGTTTTTCGAAAAATGACCTCAACCCAGTTCCTTTAATTGCATAACTTTTCTCTCAGATATCCGATTTTAAAAAGGCAAACCTCCTGAGATTTGTAGTTTAGTGTTCTAAGATGCTGCATTTAAATTTATTTTGTGTTGATTTTCTAAGCGATTTAATGAAATTTAAATTAAAAAAAAATGTTTGCAGAAAAGTGAACCAAAACCAGAACATTTAATTTCCTAACTTTTCTTACAGATATCCGATTTGGAAAAGACTTAACTTTAAAGGATTTTGGGTGAGTTTCCTATAAATCTGCATTTCAATTTTGGTTTCTAATTTCTGGCATATTTTTTTGAAATTTTGATGATGTTTTGCTTATATTGGCATTGAGGGTTATCAGTTGAGTAGTGTGAGTCTTGCCGAAAATTGCTTCCTTTCTTGTTTAAATCAGTTTAACTGAAAAAGAATAAAAACGTCTTGGATCATGCTGTAACATTTATGCATTTTTATATAATTTATTAGCTAATATATATTACTTTCCTAACGATTACTAAATATAACCGGTTAACTTTACATTGCACTTTTGATCAAACAAACGACGCAGAAAAAGTGAAACTTCCTTGATTCTCCGATCTTTCCAGTAGCACAAATACTATTTGTTTAAACAATTATAAGTATACGTTTTAAATGCGAGCATTGAGAGAGCGGAGAGGCCAAGAAAATTCGTCATATACTTTGTTGTTTGTTCGCTATCGGACTTTTTCACACATTGTCCGAGTTTCAGAGAACCTCGAACGTCGGCTTAAAGTGAAAATTGTCAAAATTTAATGTGCTGTCCGCTCTGGATCTGCAGTCATTCGTGTCGCGGGCTTCCAACGGAGCAGATCGAAAGTGACGGCTACGGATTGCGGACTGTGGACTACGGGTGAAAGGATTACGAGAAAAAGGATTACGCGAAAAGGATCCGCGATGAGGCAGCTACTAGTTTACGTGTTGATTTCGGGCTTGTTTTACTTTTCCGAAGGTAAAATACGATAGGAAGTGAAGTGTGGAGTTTGAATTAATAAGACCTGGGCTTAACAAAATATGCTTTATATACAAGTTTTTTATTTTGATAATATTAAATAAATGATTAAATAAGCTTGGAGGAATATTGTAATCAGCTTTTATTACCACCAAATATTGCTTATTTTGAAAAAGAATACTATCTATTAAATATATTAAATTAAAGTCAGAGAAATTCCGTTTAAATCGTTGTGATTAAAAAAAACAATTTACTATTAAATAGATGACTTACATGAAATCAAATTATAAATGAACTCCAGCAAATAGTGCTAATTCAAACAACCAATACTATATATTTAATATATTAAATAAAAGTAAACAAAAAATGATGTTAAAATTGATGTGACTTACCCCATGTTAATGTGTGTATTTTTTCCATTTCCGTATTCTATTTTTCCCTTATTCTGGACTGGATTGAAGGCAAACCGTGCCCTGAAAAGACACGCCCCCACAAAACCCGCTGCGACGCGTTCTACAAGTGCCGCGAACTGCCCTCCAGTTCGCATGTGTGGATTCCGGTGAGATGCAACGAGGGACTGGTCTACGAATCCACTTTGGGCAGCTGCGTCCTCCCTGGCGAGGATTGGGAATGCATCACTCCTAGCGAGATGAGCTCAACCCAAGCGCCGAGCAGAACGGACTCCGACATATTGTTGGTCAACGACATGGATGAGGCGAGTTTGCTGTTGAGTGAGAACAGCCACAAGGACGATGGCACCGTGGAAATTGTCCTGGACTCCGTCATGAGTAGCGAGGAGGATGAGGAGGCGGTGAAGAATGGGCCACATTCGGAGGAGGACATCTCCTCCAGTCATAATTTCGATTCCAGTGGCGATGGCGAGCTGGTGGAACTGGATTCTCCAGCACCAAAGCCCGAGAATCGCGAGGAAATGGCTGCCGTCAATAGTATGGAGCACAGGACCGAGGTTGAGAAACTAAAAACCGAACTCAAACAGGTGGCTGGCATCAGTGAGATAGCCAAGCCAGGATCACCCATCGATCCCAATTTGACAGCTCATCTGCAGAGATTATCCCAGTTGATTGATGGATTGCAACAGACTTATCAGAAAACCGATAAGCCCCAGGCGGAAATGCGTCCAGATCAGTTGAATGCCTTCCTGGCACACTTTGACATTAAAAATAGGTACGAAATGATGAACCCCATGGAGCAGACTACTCAAATAACTACCAGTAGTACCACCACAGAAGAACCCAAAACTACGCCTAAGCTACCAGAACCCAATTTGAACAAAAGTCGACTGCAGGAGCACTTAAGTCACCATCGCCTGGAGCCGGAAACCAAACTAATGCTCACCAATAGTGTGCCATATTCCACACATGGCAGTACTGGCCAGGGTTATGCCAACTCACAGATTGTGGTGAATCGTCCCGAGGGTTCGGTGATGTTTGCCCTGCCCTCCGGATACGGAATGAGTCAGGAACAGGCTGGTGGCAATGGCTATGCCAACCACCATCCCGTTCAAAGTCACGAGTACAGCGATCACGAGCCCAAGATATCAGAGGACACTTTAAAGACGGTTCTTGAGCTGTCCAAGCAGATGATAGCTGCCCAAAACCTGCCCAAAGTGCTGCCCAATCCGGGATTTAATGGTGCCTATTATCAGCCCATTTTGCAGCCTGTTTTTGTTTCGCCACAAGGCAATCCCTTTCAGCAGTACTATGGCATGCCACCTCCCCTAAATCCACACTATATGCAGAACAAAAAGCACTCTTCTGGAGGAAGTTCATCGGGATATAATAAACCCAGCACAACTATCATACACAACAATGTGATACCAGTGCATTTATCCAGCACGAATTCGGGGGAAAAGGAGGTTCTGGACACATATGGCCACAGTTTGGGGGTATATCCGAGTATGGATAAGCATGTGACCTCCAATCAAGAGTATATGACCACGGGTAGGCCAATTTCGGTCACTACAACGGCCAGTACTTATGGATCGCAGTCTCCATTTGCCAGCGATTATACCTTAACCACTCCAAGACCCTTTGAACAGCAACCTTCAGCCGCCACTGTGGCCACCTATTACACACCAAGTCCCCATCTGGGTGAGCACAATGCCAATAGGGTGTATCAGCCCACGGAAAGCTATCCCACCATGAATATTCCCAGACCAATGGACATGTTCCCGGGACAAATCGATGCGGACAGGGTGAGCATACGACCCAATTCGCAGAAAATCGAAAGCATGGAGATGGATGAAGATATGATTAAGGCCAACTATGGCAATACGAATGGGAACACTCTTCCTCACGTACTGACCTACAGCAGCGACATGAGCCAGCAATTAGCACCTGGCAGTGGATATCTGGAGCAGAGTTATAACCATCAGCAGCACCAGCAGCAGCAGCACCATCATCGTCATCCATATATGCCCAGGCCCACGATGAGCAGTAGTATCTATAGTGATACGGATGGTAATATGGAGATGAGCATGTTTACCAGTAGTCCAAATATAAACCCTTTCAAAGGGGAGAACTTAAAGTACCCTGGGAGTAACTCCCCCAATGGACAGCTAGTTAACTTCAATGGCAACTTTATCAGCCTGGATGTGTTTCAGAAATCCATACTCCCTCTAATGACCAAGTCCTCCTCTGCCTTGAATGAGCTGGGAAATGTGGAGGTGATCACGTGTCAGGCGGGCGTAAGGCAGCCAAATCAAACGGACTGCACTCGCTACTTCGTGTGCAGCAAAAAAGATGGCAAGGTCCTGTCCTACTCATGTCCACCCTATACAGGCTTCAATAAGCAGACCAGGATTTGCGATGCCCCCACTTATGCCCAGTGTGGTAATGCGATGCCTGCCTTCAGTGGCTATACCATAGACAGTAATAGAAGACTTCAGATGGAGGCCATCAAGATGTTGAGTGAGGCCAAGAGAAGGCAAGAGGCGGCCCTGAAGGCCCAAAGTATTGCCAATCTGCTGCAGCAGTATGGTAACAGTCAACAGCAGGTGGGAAATGGCATCTCCTCGAACATAGAAAGTGATCCTGTGGACTCGTATGCAGTTAATCTTCCTGAAGTTAATTTGGCCACCACCACCAGTCGACCCACCATTATTCAGAGCAATCAAAATCTGAATAGTGGCTCATCATCTTCCGCTAAAAAGAGGAAATACTACTGCAAGGAGGGCGACAAAATCCCCGATCAAACCTCCATTTCCAGCTACTTCGTGTGCTACAAGAATGCCCAGGGCCAGATGAAGGGCCACAAGATGAGTTGCTCCAAGAGCCTGCTCTTCTGCCCCAAAACCCTCATGTGCACCCTCGCCTCCAAGTGCACCGATTAGAATTTTTCCACATTTGCCACCTAATGTTACTTATGTCTAGTTGCTAAGTTATTTATTCTAGTTTTAGTTGAGACCGAAACGAGATCCATTAAACCACTGAAAAACACAAAAATATATATTTGTTTTCTTTTTTTGGGAAAGTTTTCTGGGCTTGTTCTAGACCAAATCAGACCTTGCCCTTCCGGTTTTGGGATTTCCAGCATGAAAAACTGACCTTCTTAAATGGCTCTTCGAATGTGATATATGCCAGGCGGTCATTAAAATTCAGGGGCGGAGTTGGATCTTTAAGGGTACTTTAAATAAAAGATGAAGGTCTATTCAAGATATTACCAAGGTTCTGGGTTTTAAATTAAAAACAAGATACAAGTTTTTTCTAAATTTATTTTAATTACTTTTCTTTCATCTTTGACTCACTATAAAGTAATTAGTTACTACTATACGATAAAATTGTTGAATTCAAGGTGATTAAATGTTTGGCAAATTTCTTTAATTTTTTTTTAGTACCAATACTCCTGGAAAAACCTGTTAGAAAAGTTTCATAAACAAAATTGCAACACTGAAATGATAAAATATTTATTATATGCACTGGGAAGTTATAAAATACCAAGCCGTTCCCACATAAAATGAATTTGAACAACATTTACGTTCTTCAAGTTGATTCCGCCCCTGTTTTTGGTCACCGACTAAAAAGATTTTCACTTTTTTAATGTATCCATGAAGCTTTTACTTGTTTATGTTTTTAGTACGCTTCCCAAATGGTCGTTATTACATGAAACACTTGACATTTACGCTCGTGAAGTGAAGATCTAGTTTTATTATAAACTCGCATGTGTGGCATAAAAAATGAGTGCAAATGTACTAAGCAAATATAGTATTTGGTTGTTGACCGTGTTACTAGTACGACAGATTTGTGAACTTTTATGAATGAATATAAATAATAATCACTTAATAGGCAAATTTTTGAAAATTTTTATAAAAAAAGTTATTCGAAATTATATATTATTAAAACTTACTGCATTCATAACTAATCAAATTTTTCTGTTTTTAACAAAAACCATATTTATGCTTTAATTATCAAAGAAACTTTGGATTGGTTTAGTCACGGAAGCATATATCTACGTTGTGAAACCCGCTACCCAAGCATCGGTGGTTCAGTGGTAGAATGCTCGCCTGCCACGCGGGCGGCCCGGGTTCGATTCCCGGCCGATGCAACGATATTTTTTTGTTTTTTTTTATTCAGTAAACTTGTTAAATAAAAATAACACTTTTTTTTATTTTGTTGATTAATTTGAAATAAAATATGTACTTACGATATAAACACATGTTAAGTAAAATTCATATTTATAATATGAACCATTCGGCTGCTAATGTTTATGTTTTAATCATTTACTAAGATCACTTAAGTACCGAGTAAAAAATATAAAAAAATTGTTGCATCGGCCGGGAATCGAACCCGGGCCGCCCGCGTGGCAGGCGAGCATTCTACCACTGAACCACCGATGCTTGGTGTTTGTGTGTCCAAATGTAAATATATGCTTCCGGGACTAAACCAATCCAAGATTGTTCGGTGAAATAATCCAATCTTTCCTCACTTAACAATCTACAACTTGCTGTGCCTAAAAATAGCCCTTGTCTTAAGTAAACTGAGAAACCTGAAACCTTACCATGCTTCTACTAAACAGAAAATTTCATTATCAAAAAATTTCAACCAATCTTGAAAACCCATTTAAATGGGTTATTGTAAAATATTTATAAGCCATTCAAAATCCCACTGTTTTAAAAGAAATATATTATTTTCTTTATGAATATATTTTTAATTTAAACTTTGGTTTTTTAATGAAAAGAAGTTAAAAAGGTTTACTTTTAAATCATTGATTTGGCAACAAAATATCCTACTTTTATTTCGAAAAAAAAATAATTTTGCCTTTATGTATTTTTTGTTTACATACAATTTTATTTTTTATTTAAGTATTTTGCATTTAATAATAAATTTGTTAATTTTCCCTCTACTCTAAAAGTTTAAATTAGAAGCCGTCAAAAAAAACTTGCAGTTTAACCTTCGGCTTGACGGTTTTTCTTTTCAAACTTTCTTCTGGTTCTTGCATTTCACTTTCATCTCTGCCATCCCCAAAGATATTACCCAACAAACCACGAAGATGCTGCTTTTGACCCTGCCCGGAGAGATTTTTGGCTTTTGGCGCGCGTGCCCCTCTAGAAAGTGACAGTTTCGGTGCACACTTCTAGGTAAAATCCACTTTCTCCTTCGACCGCACTCAGGCCCTTCCATACTCTAATTAGTTGCTAATAATTGTTTAAATGTAGACGCACACACATTTGGGCACACTTGACTGGATGAGCACGCGTTTTGACAGCTAGAAACTGTCGATGATTTGGCCCCCAGTAATTTGTCACTCACGCTCCTTCCAACTCTCACTGGACCACACATTTATATATCATGTCATAAAAGACCCAAAGCCGAAGTACAGTTCACAGAAGTTATGGTTTACTATGGTTAACTGAGGCGCTTGCATAACCCTCCCGAAGTTCATTGGCTTTCCTCACAGTCGTGTTTCTGCAGGTGACCTCCGGGGACCTTGGGAAGAAAGTTGGTCCCCTCAAAAGACACCGGTTTCTAGACCAATAACTATATAACTTATATAAGTGCATAGTTCGGCAAGTGCAGATTTATATTGCTTGGTAATCAAGCCTAACTAGTTACTTTTGAGTTTGAGCCACCCTAATGACACCGGTTTGTAGACCAATTAATATAAACAGGTACACCAAACAAAATAAAGTATACAAATTATATAAGTGCACTTTTAGTTTGAGGTGAAAAATGTACATATATTATAAAACAAACTTATCCATTTAATTACTTTAAACAGATTTCCCTTTTTATTTTCCATAATAAAAGCCAAGTACGAACAATTCCGTTCTAAACAGTAGATTTTTATTACTTTTAACCATTTGAACCAATCCTCCGCCAACCGATTGGAAAATAAGCTTTTTTAGAGTTCTCTCAACAACTACAATTCCATTACATTTACTAAATTTTAAATTTGTATGACATCTTTGATTTTTGCTTTGCGATTTAACAACATTTAAAAACTACTATTCAACATTTGCTTCCACATATTGCTTATAAGGAGAGCACAGCGAGGGAGAAGGATTTGGGATTGTATTCGAGTTGTGCCACAATTTGGCCATATATATTTGGTTTTTCGTTAGAAGAAATGCATATAAACATTGCTTTTGGTGAATGTTTGGTTGACAATATAACGTTGTTTACAATTAATTTTTAGTATAGTATGCTACAAACTCGGGGATTTCATTCGGGTTTTCTTACACAGCGCAACTAACAATTAATTAGAGTAGTTTTCTTTTTGGTATTTAATGGCTACTTATTTTGCTTTACCGATATAGGTAGTTTAAAAGTTTCCCATTACGCTTAGGTTGCATTAGTCTATAATACAATTATCACATTCCTTTTGATGATGATATATATTCGGTTTTAATTTGCATCTTGACTCGATTTTTATAACTACACTCGCTACGCCGGCTAATCCGTGATTATTATTGCTTAAGGGATCTCCCACGAAAGGGGGGCGTATATATAATATATCTAGCCGGGAACTGAATTTAATTGCGATTTATCACTAGGCATGCTTACGGACTAGTTCACTTAGTTTACTAGCATGACATTTAAAGCGCACAGAAAGGAACACAGTAGCGTAGCAGACAAAAATCGAGGGGGGGAGTGAGATATATCCCAGCCCCCTCCAATATCCCGTATCTATGGTATATAGTATCTAGACCATTCCGAATCCCTCGCTGCCCTCGCTGATGGCCAAAAGCAGCGACTTTTCGAACTGCTCGTAACTCTCGTAGTCCGGCAAACACAGCTGGTTGAAGCTGTAATCGAAAAAGTTTCGGCTTTTTAGTAAAGGGTGAGATTAAAAAATGGTAAGCACTTCCACCCACCAGGTGTGCGCCGTGGGCAGGTTGCCAAAGGTCGGGGCCGCCGTTATCTGGAACTGCGGATTCAGCTCCTGAAATCCTCCCGGCGGCAGCTGCGAACATCCAGTGGTGAACTGCAGCAGGCGGGCCATCTCCGTCTGGCTGAAGTTGCTCACTCCGGCCCAAAACCAGGCCAAAACCCGCCGGAACTCCGCCGAATTGCCGTTGGCGATGTGGTGCGACTTGAAGTCGCTGATGGAATACTCCCCGGTGCCGCACATCAGCAGCTGCAGCAGGAAAAATATTTAATTAACGGGATACCAATGCCAATTGGATTTATATAATTGTTATCTAGCATATTATATACACCTTGCAGTTTAATTAATCCACTAAAACTCACCTCTAGTTCGTTTTCATCGAAAATGCTGAGCAGATTATCCGGTATAATGGAGTTTAGACCTTTCAGGAAACTATCGACTTCGTCCTTGACACTGTTGCACAAACGTTGCTGGGCCAGGGAGTCCAGGTACTGGTTTTTGGTGGCATTGGTCACTCGTGTCTTGGCCCCGTTGGGAATCAGCTCGATGGTCTTGCTCAGCTGCCCACTGCTGGCGTCGTACATCTCCTCCACGAAGTACAGCTCCAAGGTGTCCGTGGCATCCAAATCGGTGTCCAGGATGTACTTGATCTTGGACAAGTACAAGTCGGGGTCATCTTGCTCGAAGTACTGGAATTTAAAAAAAGGCGATGTTATTAATTAGAAAAGCCAAGTGCCTTTTGAATTGAAAAGAAATATACCTACTAAAAGTTAGGTTCTTAAATATTTAACAGAATGTTGTGTCTTAATTCCTAGTCGATCAGAGTAAAATAGACAAATTTCTTAACAGTTTTTATTTTATTATAACAAATTTACTGATTTTTTTGAAAAATGTCGTGTTTTTTTCTTTAAAAAATAAAGAAAAGTTAAAGTCAAGCGTTAATAGGGCAAGGCGATTATGTAGTGATAATTAAATTGTTTTTTTTATTTTGCATGACTTATCACTGAGTTGTGAAGTTAGTTCTCCTGTTAATTACCTTATAGTGGACTCTTAGCCCAATGAGCTGGGCCAAAAACGAGCGACTGAATCTGGCCCTGACCAGCTGGCGATAGCTTCC